ATGCTCGTTTTAATCAAAGGCTTATTGATGTTATGCCACTTGAAGGACTTATTCCGGCCAATTTAAATATGTATGACGATAAAAATATTATAAAAACTGCTAAAATATATGTCCAAGATCTCCATGATGATACCTCATCTACAATCAGAGCTAACCTGTTCATATGGAGGCAACAATGGAGTCAAAATACTATTCCAAAACCGAATTCTGCTCTTGATTCACTCTCTCATCACACCAATCTTCGACCTAACATTAAAATACTTTTACAATTATTCACTACGTTACCAGTTACTTCTTTCACTCCGGAAAGAACGTTTTCAGCACTTAATCGCTTAAAAAATTTTTTAAGAAGCACCATGTCGGAAAACAGACTGAATGGGTTAGCTATGGCTAATGTAAATAAAAAAGAGCAATTCGATGAAAGTGAAATAATAACTGAATTTGCCAGAAATTCGCCTAAGAGGATGCAGCTGTCAGAGTGGAGCAAGTGACTGAACACTGAAACTAAAATTATTATTATTATTATTATTATAAATTATATATTAATAAATATTTTTTAAAACTATACTAAAATGCTTGAATTACGTTTAGAAACTTGGTGGTAGATGGTGAGGGGGGGTAAGGCTGAATTCTCATATCCTCTCTTACCTTACTTATCCAAAAAAGTAGTTAGCCCCCCCCCCCCATTTTTAAATCCTAGCTACGCCACTGGTGTGCGTTGGTTGTTTTTCTTCACGGAGTTGTCGTGCGTTGTGGGTCCACGTAGTTGACGTACCGTTGTTCCACGTATGTTGACGAGGATGTAATATCTATTCTTACAACGGAAGTTGCCGCCCAAACCGTCGTTCCGGTCGCCGTCGGTTCCGGCCACGTTGTTCTTGATTCCGCCGTTTTGCGGTACGCCATCGCCGTTTGTGAGTCGCCGTCGTTCCGGCCAAGTTGTGCACCCGCGAATCCGCCGTTGGCGATTCACCGTCTTTATATCGACATTATCGGGTTTTGTTTATTATTTCCTTTATATATATATATTGACGAATATGTTTTAATTTATTATATTGTTCCCACGTGGTTTGTTTCTTGTTTTGTTGATATTTATTGAAATGTACTTATGTTATTATTATTATTATGTAAATACCAGATTAAGCCTTATTCAATCTCCAGACACTCTAATCACAGGGGCCAACTGCCTAGTAAAGAGCTTGTGTGGTGAACACAGACTAATCAAAAAAATTTGTAAACCCATAGAAATCCACGTATGAATTGAATAATTAATCGTGTAAACTTGTTTATCGGTAAATATTATAGCATAAAGTTTAAATGATATTGTTTTCTGTTACTGCATCAATTTGTATGTAAAAAGAAGAATGCACTTAAACACTAAAAATAGAAAGTACATTATTACTCAAAACAGCACTTAAATAGTCATTGTATTTCAACATAATTATATAAACTTATTGGAATAATTATAATCAAAGCCAACATTCAGTATTTAATAGATCCGTTAAGTATAAGTTATCTAACTACCACAGAGATACGGAGCCGACATTACTTTTTTACTTTTCCCGTCAGTGTGTTATAATAATAATATTATTTCCGTCGAACTAATTTCAGTAATGACCATAACGAGTTTAATTAAATTATCCGTTGAACATAAAAAAAAATCGCAACATTTGTTTCGTCTAAACAAATATCGTTTATAGCGTCATCGGTTAACGTGGAAAACAAATCTGTTATCGCAACGAAATTCGTGCGATCCAAAGAACAATCGGTACAATCATCGACATTATATGGTTGAACGTATTCGATACAACGACTTAATTTTTACGGGTCCCCTCTATTATCGTCATAAATCGTTTCTGCTGCAGTTTGGATGAGATTAAAACTATAACGTAAGAATACGAATATAATTTATCAGTAGGAACGAAATTTGAACAGCACGCTGGATAACACAACCATAATGCAATTATAAAGTATTTCATCCAATAAGCCGCGGCACCGTTCGTCTACTACAATTATACAAATAATAGTATTAATGTCATTATGAGTCGATCAGTCCCCATAGGTCGTCGGGCGACGGTGGATTATTATTAAGTAATAAGGCCCACGGCGTGTAATTAGGACACTTTTTTTATATCATATTTATAGCGTGTGATTCTCGGCCGACTTACATAATACGAACTAATTTAGTTGATTTAAGAGAGAAGAAATAAAGAAGATTAAATAAGAAATAAAAAAAAAATGATACTCTTGAATATATATTGCAAAATAAAATTATATTATCATGATTTCTTGACCTGTGTACCCGTTATACATCCGCAAAAAGCGTTCATATGTTATAATTGCCTTGTAATCCTTATTTTTTTTTTTTACTTAATCAGTCGAAAACTGTGTGAAAATGTTTTTCTTTTAAAACTATATTATGGTTTTCCATTAGAATCTTATCATGTAACTAACTATCAAGTTATATATAGGTATGGCTCTTATACGACTTATGGTAAAAATGTTCAACATGAACTCAGGAAACGGCTTAGAACACGGAAAGATTAATGTCGGTTTTATACGGTTTTTAATCACAATCGTTTAACAGTTTTAGATATATATATATATATTTAATTTCTTTTGTAGCAAAACACGAATATTTAGAAAAATTATATGAAAACCTCCAGTAGTGTACAAGATTAGTCATCATCATGAATCACTGATCAAAAATCAACCATCATTTTATTCCAGCTATTTGCTTGGATTATCAATGATAGATACAAATAATGAAGTATAATGCGAATTTCGAATTGTAGAAACATTACAGACTACTATGATTCCTATACCATTTTGTAAATACAATTATATTGAGCTTACGTTGCAATTATAGTATTGCTGGGACCCCGAGTAATTTACTATTATTTGAACTGTAGCCTTCAGTTCAATTAACAAAGTTATTATTAAAATTATTTTTAAAATCACACCAATGAAGTTCCCCGCAATATTTCAATGAATTAAAAATTATGGAATCTTAAGTAACGATATTTTTTCACACGAGTGTGATATTCACGTGTTAAATATGTATACCTTTTTTATATGGAAAGTTAAGTTCAAAATACATAATACATTTATCGAATATATTGTTATTTATAAGCCTACTCGTAAACCAATTATATTTGACCTCAAAAAATAGGCGACCAAGACAAAACCAATACAATTTAAATACTTTTTTAAAAATAAAAGTATTTCGTATTTTTAGTCAGAGGGAAAATAAAATGGGCGTTAACAAATAATTTATCGAAACTCAAAATTATAGGGTGTGTTGTCCTTATTTTAAATACGAATAATTGATTAAAATTCGGGTGGACAATAAATATTATTATGAACAGTATAGTTGAAAAAACTTGATTTTATGAAACTCGAAAAACGTAATTAAATAATAGTTTATTTAGAAAATGCAATAATAATTAGGGAAAACCAATTCAAATCAGCTCAATCAAATTTATATTAACGTTTATGCTAATATATTAATTAAATAAATTTAATGAATTTTTTTATAGTCATATTTCAAAAGCATTAAATTCATATCTACATTTAAAATTTAATTTGATTTAAGTATATATCATAATTGAAGTATTCATTAAGAGGACTTCACACCCGCATGTGTTGTCTCCATCTGACATACATACAACATAGCAAATTTGCGTTCAGTGATTCAAATGTAGTGATGTTAGTTTTAATATTAGAATAAGATGGCCCATAATCTAACTTTAAGGGAAGAACATTATCTATGTTTGTTGGTTGGTTTTTCCGATATTTTTATTTTTAAGTGTGTTATGATTATGTAAAATATAACAATTAAAAAAAATATCAAACCCAGTGTATCTAGCGTGGAAGACAAGATCACCGAAACGGTTGTAGCCGAATTAGTTCCCGTTTGTGTACAGGTAAAATAGTGACAATTTTAATTTTTAACACAATTTACCTACACTATTAAAAAATAAAATCCTGCGGGCCAATGCATAGAAAGAAAAAATATTATTTTAAAAGCTATATGTATGACATATAGACACAATTACTGTATATATAGTATAGAAATATAATACACTACAGATTACTAGAGGCTAGAAAATTATCGATATTAAGAAAACGACTGAATTTTAGCATTCGGACACTAAATTATATTAAATTTCGAAGTAATAATCAAAGGAAACTTACTAGCAAACAGGAAAGAAGTAACAAATATTTGGAAAATTGTATGACTGACTACATTAATAAAAAGATTACAATAATTGAATATTTAAAGAAAGTTAGCTTCAAATTTACAAATCAATTGTTTTAAATTGTATTTATTATATTTTATTAATTGTATTTAAAGTGATGACAATTGATTTCCAAATCAACGATTTAAAATTATAGATATTTTATCTTTTTTTTTTTTTTTTTTAACACATTAACGCACATTTTTAACCAAGCCTACTTTAAAGTTGATAGTCCTAAGACTGTAAAATTGAAAAGGAAAATGTTAGTAATTAAACGGGAACCAATTCGGCTATACCTAATAAAATACCTTTTTCAGACGGGGACCAATTCGGCATGTGGGTTTGGAGCTCAAAAACCAATTTGATACCAGCCACCGAAACATCATTGCGACTCTCTCGAATGATTTACCCGATGCAGTAGACCAGGGGTGAGCATCTGGCGGCCCGCGAGCCTTTTTTATCTGGCCCGTGCTATGTTTTCAAATTACCTACATCAAACAATTTTGAAGTTTATCGTCTATACTTTATCTTATCGATATATTAATTACTATCCGTTATTAAGCATTGTTAAATACCTAAATGTCATATGTATGTTTACGTACAGCTTTCAAACAGCTATTTGTACCGAACTATCAGTTTCTTTGTATCATTCGTGTTGTGCTGTCGTGTCGGTTAAATGTATTATTTCGGTGTACATAAATGCTAATTAAAATTCATATTTTAATTGGCCTTTATTTTTCCCTATGCTTTAGCCCGCTGGATTTTAATTTTCTAAAAATTGGCCCTCTAGTAACTTTGAGTTGCCCGTCCCTGCAGTATACCAACCGTGCACCGACGGTTGGCCGGAACGAAAACGGAAAACCTAATCGGAAACGTATCGAAAAAGAAAAATAACACGGCGTCGTCCGCGGGAAACGTTCGCGACGGACTGCGTAAACCCATCCGCCTCCTTAACGTGCCGACCATGGAGGTGGGTTAAACAGGTATAAAAACTGCGGTATAAGAATCGCGTTCGTCACGTGCGTGCGTGCGCTTTGTATCGACCTTGGACCGTGTATAGACGACGCGTTCGCCCGCTGAAGCCGAACGGTACGTGTACGCGCGCGACAACCTAACAGTCAACGTTCACTCGTACACCAGACACGACGACCAGCAGACGGACGACGCGTGACCAGCCGAATAGCCGACCATGAAGTGCTTGAAGTTGAACTCGGGCGGAAGCATGCCGATAGTGGGCTACGGGACGTGGCAGGTGAGTCCGTACAACATATACGCGCGTAATCGATACACTACCGATGTGTTACTGCCGTAATGGTGACGGTCACAATTTTGTTGACGACGATTTGTTTCCGCTGTTTTGCATACAATTGTCGGCTGCTGCCCGTACTGCGGTTCTTAATCCGTCTGCGAATCATCCTCGGACATGCCGGCTGACCGTATACCGCACACACGTATTGTTACCGTTGTTGTTGTGTTCTAACGGGACCAGGTGGAAAAATCCGAAGACTCAGACGTAGGTGGAAAAAATAACACGCACGGTAACATTGTACATACGTATACGATCACGAGCAGCAAAACAACAACAATTTATTCGCGTAGACAATTTCAAACATGTACGTGTAAATACACTGTCATCTCATGGCGCATTATAAAACACAAACCATCGAAACGATTCGTATTTTACACTTGTTAAGCGTGTGCGCAACGTGTCCCGACGACGATTTGTTACGACTTAACCCGATCTAATGGTTTTCGAACCGGTATGTCGTGAGCATTCGGTAGATGTGATATTTTTAAAATAACTAAACGATGATCTAAAAAGTTGTTCTGACGTGAGAGACATGTGCCGTGAAAATATCGAGAAAATCACGGAGTTTCGTATTTAAAAATAATTCAAAAACAACCGATAGCAAAATTAACAATATGCACATCTTCGTGTGGCACCCTATATAGTATATATTATACTACATGTCATATTATGTATGGTAAACGATGCCACGCCATATACGATTTTTTATGATATTATTGTATAATAGATCTGTATGTCTCGGTACGTCTCGGTGCGCAGAAACGACGCGCGGAAAAAAAACAATATTAACTCGTCCATTTGTATGCACCAGAACGAATTGGTAAAGATTTTTCAAACAGTTGTTTGTTTTTGTTTTTTTTTGACTGGCCATTATTTTATTTTTTATTATTTTTTTTTTTTTTTGTGAATTAACAGCAAATTAGTGCCGAAATTAAATTAAGGTGTTTTTAAAGGATTAGGTTTTAGTAAGAAATTTGCATTAAATATTACATAAGCCTCTATATGTATGCACTTTTTAAATTAATAAATCTTTGTGAAACAACCGGTAGTACGTGTCATGGTGGTGACTCCTATAGGGGATGTTATAGTTATTCCTATTTATAAATGAACAACTATAACGTCCTTGAAATTAAAATCAAGTTCATCGGTGGACCAAGTACGATTGATGTCTGACTGTAAAAAAAATGTGGAAGCACCAAAATATATTTAATCCTACTGGGTTCGTCTTTTTTTTTCGATTTTTAATGAATTTACTCACATTCAAATTATTAATATATTGTGAAAACAAATCAAGTAATTCATTTGAAATTCTGAACGTTTTACAGAAATCATTTCACATTTAGGTTAGTATATTATATAGGTTATCAAATATTACGAGTTTATTATAATTGGTGGTTTTCTGATGTTTTTCCTACATATCATCTTGTCGTTAAAACCGTTAGTAAAAAAATCTCTCACGACGAACTACTAATCAAACTATCTAATTTATATTTTAACAATTAAACACGTACATGAATTTTATCATTATTATAATATTTACTTATAGGAAAATAATACAATTTTTGATAAATATTATAAACTACAGATAACTCCGACGAATAAACCACGTCGTTGCAGGCGATGCGCTAAAAAACTTTACGACTGATATTACATTAATTTAACCGGTTATTCACATACATTTATAATATCACGAGAATACAAAATTTTAAGTTAATTTTTCTATAGGTTTTTCAATCATCTTCTATGTAAGTTTTCAAGGAAAAATGAGCTCAATCTAGATCTTACTTCCTTGGAAACTTGAGAACAAGTTATTTTTTCTAAAAACAATATTTGTGTTTCGTTCGTTGCGCACGAATCTATCCAAATCAAAAACAGGGAAAACATTTCTAGTAACCTTCAATTAAACCTTCAAATAAATTATATGTTTATTTCAGGGCTTCAAACCATAATGATTTTTTGTGGTTAATGGTTTTAGTTTATCTACTATTTTATTCGGTTTTTAAAAATAAAAACTGGTTTTTAATGTAATAAAACTGGTTAATTTTGTTTTTTTTAAAAAAATATATTTTTTATAATAATTTTGTACCTCAGACAATTCATTGCCATAATTATGAAATAATTAATTAGAAAATTCAACTATCGTGAGATATTCTTAAAATAAGTTCATAATTTATATATTTATAATATTTTTTTTTTCAGCTTTAGAGGACGTATATTAATAAACAATAAATATAAATATGATACACATTTTTAAGCTCTTATTACAATATTAAATATACAAACACTCATGTGTTTATGCATAAACGACATAACTGCAATATTTATTATCGAGTAGGACAAAAAAGAAAAACCATATTAATTCAAAATGTTGAATAAATTTATAGATATTTGAAACAATTTAAGATACACCATCGTCCATTAAAAGCGGTATTGTAACAATAAACAATGTGGTTTCTGGTTGTCATTAATCGTGTTCACGTATTATCTACAGTATTGTGGGGCTACAACGAGTAGTCCCACTTACCAACTGTTCAATTATTAATTTGCGAATTATTTTATATTTATCTAATAATTTTTATCTGTCTTTTTTCAAACAAAATAGGCTGACCAACTTAACAAAATGCGTAAAAACTAAAATTAAATATTAATTATTTTTCGTAATTAAAAATGTATTTATTTCCGTTCGAGAACGAAAAATATTTTTCTGGTTAACTATTTCGTTTTCGTTCTATAAAATTAGTAATTGTGGTTCCATTTTTGTTTTCGTTTATACACATTTTCCAATAAAACCGGTTAATAAAAAAAAACGGTTTTAACCGATTTGAAGCCCTGGTTTATTGTATCTACATATCATAGGTATATGCGGGATGAGTAGGTACTTGATATTTTTGATTTATTTAAAAATTTGATTCAAATATAATAAATCGAAGTTAATATATAGTATACCTACCATAATAGTGTATCGTGAAAATAAATTACATAAGCATTTTTTAAATAAATAACTACATAAGTCACGTAAAATATTCATACACCAATATCAAAATTGATTTCTAGTATTTTTTTTTTCATGTAACAATATATCTGATGAATAATAATTAAAAAATGAATTGCAATTATTATAATTTAGAGAAAATATTTATTGTACTGGGTTGTATTCGAACAAGGAAAAAACCCTATTGGAACAATTTTTTCTGCACACACCGAATAAAATTCCTACGCGCATTTACACTACGTCGTAACTTAGAGCTTGTCGCAATAATTACCGTCCTAAAAACAGAGCCTCCGTACATACCACTGGAAATGTAATGCGCAACGTATTACTACACAAATACAAGTTTTTCTACTTTTTTCTATCGAAAAGGGTATATTATGTACGGAAAAACATTATAATAATATAGTAGCATAATTAACAAATAATAACAATAATAAAATCGTGTGCTGCTTGAAATGATCGTAAATTGTTGTATTCTGAATCATGTATAAGAAAGGCGTATCGCGTATATACTATTATACGAATGATCTCGATAAAAACAATACAATATGCAACATGGGTTCCCTTTAATGACGTATGATTAGTGATCGTATAATCGTTTTGTGAAATCGAACGCGACCACATTGCTGGCCGTACGTTCGGACTCGCGTTCACTTCATTCATGTTTTACCGTCAATCGTATATTATTATTTTGTGAATTATTGATTACGATTTTATTTATTCGTCTAACAGAATAATATAACTGATTAAATAACCTAATTTATTTGTCACGCAAACGTAGTATCATTTTCAAATGCAACTAAAGGGCATTAAAACTATGTATTAAATGCTTTAAAATAATAATTATTCATTATTCACTTGTCATTTTTAATCAAAACCAATTAAACGGCAGAAGAAATTGTTTACAAAAAACACGTCATAATTATTCAATTGTTCTTATTAGAATATCGGTATATATATTTTTTAATTACTTGCATGTTTATTTCTCTTCAAACATACCTATCATGAGTTATTTTATATTTCGGCGAGAAATACATAAATATTATTATATTAGTATTATGATAACGAGTCAATCGATATAATTACGAGTGTCAAAGTTTCATTAAAAAATTTATATTGTTTACAATAGTATATAGACTTCTATATTGTACCAGGTGGAACCGTTAAGGAAAAAAGTGTTGTGCTCTAGTATACATTAAAAACGTGAAGAGCTTTAAAAAAAGCAGATAAAATTGAGTACTCAAATAAATTTTATAGTTTAATCAATAAATTTATTCAATTTTATCGTTTCCACACAGTATGTTTAATCTTCTGAGATTAAATTAGTTCATTTCTGAATGAACAATTTTTCAGAAATACCAATGAATGTCACGATACTGGATTAAAAAGTAACTTTCGGTAACAAATTAGGCAATACCGTTAATCGATATGAATAACATATTAATGGCATTCATATTTTTTTATTTATGATTTGTTCAACTAATTTTTGGGGACTTGGCTGATTGTTTCCATTATTTTACTCACTAGTCCAAGACCATTTCACTCGATCCGTGGTAAATTATTTCTACCTAATTATTATAAATCACCATATATAATTTTGACAAGGAAATTAAAAATGTTTATTACAGATTATTAATCGAATACAATTGTTTGTTATTTTCTATTTATTTTTTCAAAAAAAAAATATAGAGATGAGCCATATTGTTGTTTGGACCAATTTGCACGAAAAAAAATTTTGAATACGTGACATCTCGTATAAAGTGAAGTTTATAAATTATATTTTAATTAATTATGCATACTTTGGTTAATACCATTTACTAATGAACCATACAGACCAGGTATGAAAAAGATCCTGCACGTTATTTTTTAAATGTCTCAGCAGAGGAACTGTTTGTGCTTAAGCGTAAATATTAACTTTTTTCTTAATCCTGCACTGGAAATACAATTAATTTTCCAAATTATGTATAACATTTCAATTATATTTTAACAGAGTTAACTACAATAGTTAGTAATTAAAATCATTAATTATAGTTACTGATAGAATAAGTAAAAATAATTATTGAAAATTTCCGATATTATTAGCAAATATATTTCCACCAATCAATTTCCTGTCATAACAGTATATCAATATGCAAATCGATAAAAGAACATACTAATTAAAGTATTTAATATTTGAAAACTGAATAAGGCTAATAAGAATGTAGCCATTGAG